GTGGGATTATTAGTCAAATCTCTGTTGTGTTATGTTAGTGGTTGCTTTTGACCTTTGACCAGCATCGAACCCGGGACTCTTCAGTCCACAGGCCGATGCTCTATCCACTAAGCAAGACTGGCTAGGGCTCAATCTTCTTTTAAAGAGATTTAAATAATGCTTAGTCGATGTGGCTCAGTGGTTGAGAGTTGATGCACGAACCAGGAGATTACAGTTTGATTCATGGTCAGGGCATATGCCCTGGTTGTGGGCTTGATCCCCAGTAGGGGGCGTGCAGGAGGCAGCTGATTCTCTCTCATCATGGATGTTTCCATCTCTCCTTCGCCTTTCCTCTCTTGACATCAATAATTAATAAATAAAAAATAAAGAGATTTAAGTAATAAGAAAAAGTGCTTACATTTGCCCATGTGATTACCATTTCTGGTCCTCCGCATTCCTAGTGTAGGTCCAGATTCAAAGTGCTATGATTTTCTCTCTGCTTTAAGGACTTATTCCAACATTCCTTGTAGTGAGGGGCTGCCAGCGATGAGTTCTTGCAGCTTTTATATGTCCAAAGCAGCTTTATTTCTCTTTGGAAAAATATCTTTGCTGAGTAAAGAATTCTAGGTTGGCAGTTGTCTTTTTCTCTTCCTGTTTTGTAGACGTTGCTCCACTGTCTTCTAGTTGGTCTCATTCCTAATGAAAAACCTGCTTTTCTGAATATGTTTGTTCCTCGCATGAAATGTGTCTTTTCTCCTCTGGTTGGTTCTCTCTTTACCCTTTGTTTGAACATTGATGTGCCTGGTGTGGTTTCCATCATGGTCCCTGTGCTTGGAGTTCACTGAGCTCCTTGGATCTGTGGATTCACAGTTTGCATCAAGTTTGGAAAAGTGCTTCTCTAAATATTTTTTCCAGTTTGCCCCTTTCCTTGGAGAAAGTTCCACAGCTCACTGATGCTCGGTTCACACTTTCATCTTTTCTTTGTTCTGAATGGTTTGTACTGCTGTGCCTTCAAGTCCACTCAAGTCTCTTCTTGTGGCGTCAAACCCACCCCTACTCAGCCTGTGTATTTAGCATTTCAAACATTGTAGTTTTCATGCTGGAATTCATATTGATCCCATAAAAGACCTTGCATGTCTCTACTGAAGATATTCAATCTTGTCTCTCGCTGGCGATATTCAATCTTGTCTCTCGCTGGCTTTCTAAACAAGGTAATACAGTGACGTTGTATAACAAATGGACTTCACCCAATTCCATCATCAGAGTCATTTCTGGGTCTGTTTCTACTGATTACAGATCATTGTTTCCTGCCTTTGTTGTTGTTGTTAATGCATCCAGGGATTGGATGCCAGGGATTGTGACTTCTACTTTGCAGGGTGCTGGATAATTTTGCATTCCTGTGAATATCCTGGAACTTGGTTTGGGGCTGCAGGTGAGTTACTGATATACAGCCTGGCCATCCTTTCAGGTCTTGCTTTGGAGCTGTGTTCAGCTGGACCAGGGCAGTGTTTTGCCTATTTCCTCGCTACTGAGAAAAATACCCATCAGAGTTTCCCACTAGGAGGGAGGGTGGATCCAATCTCTGTTCCTCCATTTCGATTGGAAGCAAAATTTTGGATTCTTACACTTTTATTACATGTAAGAGAATTAATCAGAACCTAACCAGCTCTTGACAATATTAAATGGCAGAGATGGCCCTGTTGTCAGTACTGGGCCAGCCCGTGTGCATGGGTCCCATCACAGCCTGTTCCAATCAGAACGCAGGAGAGCTGAACACATAGAAGCGGACATTCCCATCCACCTGCAGCCACCACACCCACTTTCATGCCATTCAATGCCCACGGCTGTGGTGACCTTTCGTTTCGACTGCAAAGCTGTGTCCATCTCTGGATGTAAAATGTCCAGATCCTGTCTTTGCTTTATCCCTTTCCTTTACTTAAAACAATTAAATCAATTTAACCAATTTCAAAGGCAAGACTCATTTATTATGTTAAAAAGGGCCTACAAGCACAAAGAAGTAACAGCGGCTGCTGCGTGAATGTGGTCCCTGTGCATGTCCTCCTCCTGTCACGGGGCTCCTCACTTCTGTGAAGAAACCTCATCCCTGAGTGTTACCTGAGCCCTGAGCCAGTGGCCACACACCCTCGATGTTCTCATGTACAGTGTTTGGGATTGTAATACAGTGGGGCCTTGACTTACGAGTTTAATTTGTTCCGTGATGGAGCTCGTAACTCAAATTACTCGTATGTCAAATCAAAAAGTGAACGAGACATGTGATGCTGGGCTGATGTTGTGGCATTCACTGTGATGTTCGCTGCGCCAACTAGCGGTGGGGTATCTGAAGTTGGCTCGTAACCCGAATTTTAGCTCGCAACTGCTCGTATCTCGAAAAACTCGTTAGTCGGGACACTCCTAAGTCAAGGCCCCACTTAGCTCTGGACCTCAGTTACCGTCTTGGCTGTGAATGATTAGGATGCCTTCCAAGTCCCCTTCTGGCTTTGACAATATTTCTGTATTAATCCGAACTGATTTTAGATTCTGGGCCTCTGAGAGTTGTGTGCTCTTTTATTAAACAAATGTTTTTAGATTTGGGCATACCAGTTTAAAGGCATCACAGACCCCAGATTGAGAGCTTCTTAATCCTGAGGTTTGGTTCATTCTAACCAAACCCTTTATTTGGACCTCTGATCACAATTTATGTATTCAGTGAACCAGAGCCCACTCTACAACAGTTCTATCTGCTTTACTTCTATTTATAAATCCTTTACAGATTTAATAGAAGGACGGCAAAGTGTGTTTAAGGTGTATATGCTCAACATAGAGAAATTACAGAACCAGGGAGACAGCTACGCAAGTCTGAGTTCTGGGAAATGCCACCACTGCCCACAGGGTATCGAGTCACTCCACAGTTCCCCTTCGCTATCGAGAAGCTTCTTCTACAGAATTTCAATCACTGTGCTTCCCAAACATGCTAGAATCTCATCTTGACCGCCTCTCCTGTCACAGCCTAAGAAATGTTATCTTTCTAATAAAAAAACTACACGTAACAAAGAGCATCTTCAAGTACATAGGACTACATTTTATTCATTCCGTTACAAACTCAAAGTTCTTCACATGGCACCCTTTCCAGCAGGGCCCCACGTTCTAGCAAGACCCCCCCATCCAGCAGGACCCCCACGTCCCCACAGGGCCCCGCAGGTGGAGGGGCCAGGGCTGCACTTGCCCGTGCCCTCGTCTCATACTAATGGGGTTTATTCCGACACTATGTACATTCACAGTTCCGAATGCCATTGAGTCACTACAAGAAAGAAAAGGGATCAGGAGGAGCAAACATCCATTCAAAGTCTGCTTATCAGAGATTTTTTTCCTGAAAACGCACTGTGGCATTTCATTCAAAAAACCCTTCATGCACAGACCTGGAGGATGGAGGCCAAATTCAGGCCCCTTCCCTCAGAACATCTTAGTTTATTCACCTCCTTCATTGGTGGGTTTTTCTCTTTGAAAAATGAATATTTATACATTTTGTGATTATAAAATTAACCACCGTTAGCCACCGAGGCTGCATCTGAGTTTCTGTGGTGTCCAGCAGGCCGAGTGCCCCGGATGGCCCTCAGCACCCGCCCCTGTGTGCGTCCTGGCTGGCAGTGAGCAGCTGGAACGGGGGGAGGGGACAGCTGAACCGGAGTTAAGGGTTTTCCTGGCGTCTACTGGTAGAAATGCACGTCATGGATGCCTCGGGAAATCAGTAAACATCTTCCCTGTGCTTCTGGCCCTGGTGGTCACTTTCAGTAGAGATACCCCAAATACAAAATTCAATTCATTTTAGAAAAAAAAAAAAATTCCCCCCGAAGGAACCCAGAGGCTTTGCGTCAGGACACCAACTGTAGTCTGTGGTTATGATTGTGCTTTAAGGACAGGTTCCAATTCTGTCCTAAACAAGTGAACCAAGGGGATTTCAGGAAGAACAAAGGCACCACCAGCACAGTGTCCCCCTTCTGGTGCCAGGAGACTGCTCCTCCTCTGACCCAGGGCGGGACTGGAGTTGGTCCCTGACAGACCTATGCGGCCTCGTGGCCCTGACAGGCAGGGCATCAGCCTGAGGCAATCACCGGCTCTGCTGCTCTCCGGTTTCCGTCCGTCTGTCTGTCCGTGCAGCTCATCTGTCTGCAGGGCAGCTGCTTTGTCCACTCACCAGAGCCGGAGCAGGGGAGGGATGGCCACCCTCCGAGCAGGACGCGCTGCCCCAGGGCTGCTGGAGGTGCACAGCCAAACAACAAAGGAGCCGGGCCCAGTCCTTCCCTCCTGCCTCACTCATGCCACCCATGTTCAATGCCTCGGAGCTGACACTACAGTGAAGTAGATGACGTCATATTAATACAGAAATACCAAGCTGGTAACGTTTATAAAAAAAGAGGGGGATTCAAAAGGATTAAGGATGGGAGATAGCAGTTCTGGGCTGGAACTCCTGGTGGCCCAAACAGGAGGGAAACTGACCTGGTGGAGAGGCCAGAGAGAGTGAAGTCAAAGCCACAGACAGCCTCAGAGTCTATCAAAAAAGGGCCTATAAATAAATATCCTCTAACCCTCAAAGGAAAATGAAGTAGAAAAACAACTTTCTTCTTTTAAAAAAAATGCTGAATGTTTCCTGTAGTATCTAAATGAGGTTTATAAAATACTCATGAACTCCCACAAATATAAAAATGTTTAAAAACTCCTGGCGGGCTGGCCACGCTGTGACTCCACAAGTTGGCACAGGGTTTGTCTGGAATCAAACACATGCCACATGCCCTGCTTTTCGAGTGTGCATGGAGGCTGCCCGCCTGTGCATGTGCCTCGAACTGACCAACAGGGGCCACGTGGAAAGAGTGAGATGACAACCTGAACCCAGGACACTTGAAAACAAGCCACACCTGGTGTCCACCCACCTCTGGAGGACCTGCCCGCAGGGAGACCCCTGAGCCCCACCAAGGTAGGCAGGACATGCCCCACACAGTCTTGCTGTGAGGAGTCCGGGTGGCGTGAGCATAAGGTTTCCTTCCAGATGCCCCTCAGGCCGGTGCCCCATAGAGGAGCAAAGTGGAAACACCCCAGCCTCTGGCACTTGGGCCTGGGGACAGTGACCGAGCAGCCGACATGGAGAGTGGAGCCCGGAGATGGTCACAGCAGAGGGCTCGCGGCCATGTGGAGGCGGGTGGCGACTGCCGGGGAGCAGTCTCGTCTCTCCAGCACCCTCAGTCCTAGTCCAGTTTCTTCCGCACAGGCTTCCTCCCAGCATCCGAGTTCTCGGGGCTGAAGTCAGCACAGAAGCCGTTGGGGGTGAGAGCGGGAGGCGTCTGTGCACAGCTCTCGAAAGGCGGCTGGTCGGGGTACAGATACTCCTCTGCAAAGTCGGGGTACGTTTCTGCAAACCTGCCGAAGTCGGCTGGAGAGATGAGGGCACATGGTTACTGGGGCTTCAGGAGCAGACAACTAGAGTCTGGAGCTCTTCCCTGGGCCTACGTGACCCTTCCCTCCCCCGACTCCGCCCCCCCCTCCCCCACCGCTCTGGCAGGGGTGGGGTCTACGATCATGGTCTTGGAGGTGAGGACAAGACCCACACTCAGTTTTTCTCTGCTGCGCACAAAATCATAGCAAAAGCAAAGGGGCAGCCACTGTATCCTCTCAGTTACTCTTGCTTGGGGGAAAGCTAAAGAAATGGCACAATTCTGGGCACTGTGGGACTCAGTGCATGTGAGGGAGGTGCTGCTCATCACAAGAGCTGGTTCAGGGACAGGACGAGCGTCCGTGTGGTGACTGATACGCCATGAGGCAGGTGCTACTGATGGATGTCTGTCTGAGCACTGGGGAGACCATGGGTGCATGGAGGGTCACCCTGCAAGCTGGTCACAGGGCCTGAATGCCTCCCTGCCTGTGCATCTCCCAGTGGCCAGGGCTGGTGTTGAGTGGAGAGCACCCTCAGGCTTGCATTCAGGCATCATGAGAGCAGGTAATGCTCAGAGGCCTTGGGTGTAGGAGCCTGCAGGCTCCAGGGTCATCCATGTCTCCTTGTAGGAAACCTGGAACGGCTTTTACTGGAAAAGTCTGCAGTTGGTCAGGCTCATCACCAACCTCACCAACAACCCCCAAAGTAGGAAGCAGGGCCTGCTATAATGCAGATATACACACACACACACACACACACACACACACACACACACACACAAATAACAACCACCTCCCACCCCACACCCGTGCCTGACATTTGGATGCAATTTTAAAACATGTCCAAACAAGACGTGCACGATGACCTTTCTTGAGCAAATGTCTGCTAGTTTTTCAGCAAGAACACTTACTCATTGTGAAATGCGCACTCTGGCCAGTGCCCTGAGCAGAACGCCTTCCGAGATCCTACTGCCCAGCCCCCCAGCCACAGGCGGGTTTCAGGTCCTGGCGCCCCAGGATCCGGGCCAGCCTGCTCTGTGCAGCCACAGGTGATGAAGCCAAACCTTCCAGAGAGGAGCTGTCCAGCAGAGTCCTCAGGGCAGGTGACTCGCTCCTGCACTGAACCCTGATGGCAGAGGCCCTGCCCTGGCCTGGCACACGTGCCCACAGCCCCCAGGACGACGTTCATCCTGGTCCCAGGTCTACTGGGCTTGGAATTTGGCTCTATTCATCGCCTGCAGAAGTCAGATTTGAAAGCTCCCACCCTTCCTGGCCAGGTTTTAGGAAGAACCTTCCTCCTGAGAATCTCTGTTGCAGAAGACACAGGGTGGCCTGACAAGCACAGGTGGGTGGGGGCTCCATGTGTGTCCTCACTTCTGGCACCAGTGGGCCACCCTCCCTGCTCCCGGGCCTCTCACCAAACGTGATCCTCCCCTTCTCCTCCTGGTCGATGGCCCGAAAGAGGTCAGTCACGGTGAGTTCTGCCACCCCTAATGCCGTCTTGAGGATGCTGGACAGGGCATCCTTGTCTATGCTACCATCCTCCTGAGACCCGTACATCTGCAAAGCAAGGCCGGTGTTACCCCGAGGTCTCTTCCTCCATCCTCAGGCCCCACCAGGCCCACTGCCTGCCCAGAGTGGCCTGTTCCTCCTCCCAGAGGCCCTAACCCACCTGGCAGCATGGCCAGAACCAGCGTGCCGCCCTAGGGAGTGCTGAGCCCCTTAGCGTGCTCCACCTGTAACCCACGTCTCACTGTCCCCATAAATTAAACTCATGTCCCCACACTTGCCTTGAAGGCCAGCTGTATGGTGTCCAGGGTCTGAGCAGGCCGGCAGACGACAGACAAGGCGACCACGTACTCCCGAGGGTCCATCTCGCCGCTCCCGCTCTGCAAAAGAGAGACGCTCTGTCAGGGGCAGTCTGGCCACCTCCCTGGGAGCTGGGGTTCAGCACTGGCTGCTGAGTGTCAACACAAGGTTATTTTTCACACAAACTTGAGATCATGTGTCTACATGGAAAGAGCATCTGAAGAACGCTCCTAACCACTGGCTTCTCCACTCTTTAGGCTGCTAGAATGAATCTTCAGTGTGACTGTCACATGAAGGTGTGCAGGAAAGTATGTGCAGCATGAGGACTGTTGCCTGCCTTCCAGAAAAACAGACCTGCCCACAACGAGGCTCACTTCTGGGCTCTGAAACCTAGCCTGCTAGTGACCACACAGTGAGCGTGCAAATCAAAGGTGAGCCCAAGGTGATGACACCACGCAGGCCGAGCACACTGGGTCCGCCTATGCCCCTGACTCTGGGAAGGTGCTTAATCTTGGGTCTGAGGCTCTCTGTGAAATGGAGGATATTCCTACCTTGTAAGAACACTGTGAAAAATAAAAATGAACCCACACACTGTGGCAAGATGTCTGGTGCTCAGTGATGATAACGCATCACCAGGATGTCACCAGCTGAAACCATGCTCACTCTTGTATTTCAAACCTGACCTGTTGCCACAGCGCCCGAGTGAGATGTAGCCACAAATCCACCCCACAGCTGCTTTACACCAGGGGTCGCCCAGATGGGCCACCTGCTCAACTGCACACTGTGGTGCCACAAACCTGCACACTCATGGGGTCTCTAAAGCCCAAATCACTCACCAGCTTCTTCGAGTTCCACCATGCTGCACCTTGTGGCCACACAGAACATGCAACGTTGTCACACGGAACACGCTGTGTTGCACACACATGAAATTCTAAGTGTTCACACCGAACACACTGTTGTCCACATGCAACATGCTCCATTATTCACACAACATACTACGTTTTTCACAGGGAACATTCATGGCTGAAGGAGCCCCTTCACACACACTGTGCCACGTTGACTGCTCCTACAGGACGTACCGCACAGGGGTCTGCACTGCGATTCAAACGTCCAGAATGACCAGGCATGGGTGGTTTCTGGCTACATGGCAGCCTGCCCTCCTGGTTCTCTGTCTCCCCCGCAAACATTAAAGGCCACCCCCATTCCCAGAGCTGCAGTGACGTGTTGACTCTGTGCAGCCAGCACATACGACCGATTATGATGTGTGTGGTGGAGAGGGGAGGGGTTGCTCTCCAGGGGGAGACCCCCAAGCTTTAGACAGAGGCGATGGGGAACGACTAAGCCGAGCATCCAGAAAGAGGCCATGCTTAGAAATTCTGAAGGCCTGGCTGGGCTGGTCAGTGGAGGCCTCTGGGAAGGGACACGGCAGGGGCTAGGCCAGCATTGCTGTGTGATATCACTCAGCCTTTTAGTGATCTGATCTAAGGAAACCCAAACTACAGACATGTTTATCAGCACATGCTAACTGAAATGTCAGATACTTTGTGCATTTAAAACCATGGGAGAAAATACTCCCGAGGACAGGGTAGGCTGGTAGGATGGGGCCACTGAGGGGTGGTTTTTCCTTCTCTACTTCCAAAACTGTCTACAGAATGTTTATATTACAAGGAAAACAATGTACACTTTGAAGCCAAAGGTTTTGCCACCCCCACTGGGTGACGTGCTACCTCGTCAAACAGGGAGAACATGTCGGCCAGCGGGTCGGAGACAGGCACTTCCAGGTAAGCCGCAAACTCTGAGACGTTGATCTTTGCCCCCCTCTTCATCCCAGCACTTTCCGCATATCTATCCAGATCTTTTTCAAGTTTTTCTGGTTTTAGGCTAAATAAAAAGAGAGGAAAAGTTTTTTTCAATAAAATCACAGAATGCCAAAAATAGGAGGCTTACTGTTTTAAGACCCAACAAATTATTAACATGATTTATAGACCAAGCTGCTAGTTTTCAAGAACAGCCTTCTAATAACCTGAAGGCACGCAATGCTCTGCCTAAGTATGTACACCCCTTGGCAGGGCGGCCTGTGAGCAGGACGTCCTCCAGGGGCAGCTCCAGAGAGCGTGGCACCAGCCATGAGGAGCTTTTCGGCACTTCAGTGTGGGCTGAAGTTGGCATAGAAAAGAGGAAAATAACCGGACTGCCAGAACAAGCACTTCAGCTCTCCTTGATGCCCTGTCTCGAGTGACATCGGGCAGCCCCAGGCGCAGCTGCGACCTCCAGCTTGGTCCCCAACACCTGCAGGGCGGAGGCCCCTGCGAGGTTCTGCCTGGAGTTTTGGTCCAGCACAAAGCTTTTCTTCACTGCTGAACACATCGCACCTGCCCTGTCACACATCACAGCCCCAACGCTTGTCACAGCATTCGAGGGAGTGCCCTTTTTGACAAACTGATCATGAGTAAAAAAAACCCAGGCACTCACCCTAGGCCCCGCACCAGCCTGGCGAATTCCAGAAGGCAGGTGTCTGCAGGGAGCCGAAGCTGTCCTTCCGCCAGGGCCAGCTGGCAGTCCTCAAAGGTGTAGTCGGTCACGGAGACGCCCAGGGCCCTGCAGCAGAGAGGAGGCCCTGCCGTGAGCGCCCTGCACGGCAGCGGTGCCAAGTCACAGGAGCCCCTGTGGTCTCTCTGAGTCTGCTCCGATGGCAGACACCCTGGCAGAGGCAGTGCTGCATGCGTGTCCTGCACCCTGCTCTGAGCCCCTGGGGTACCCTCCTCACACAGCGATTAGTACGTGAGGGAGGACTCTGAACGCCGAGATGCACAGAAGGGCAATGTGGGAAGGTCATGTTTAGTACTAAACATAAATGCCTAATAGCTGACCCTAAATTTCAATTACTTAGAACTTAGGCTGCCCAAGTTTGCACCCCACTAGGAAACAACCATGCATTTGGGCCTTAAAGACGACACCACCACCCCACGGGGTGTTTTATGGAGAAGCTCAATTCTTCACAAGTGACCAGGGATCGCTTTTCTCAGAGCTGACACCTCCCTGAAGCTGGGAGAGTCAGAACTTGGCCATTCTCAGAGCTGCATCAGAGTTCATGAGACATAACCTTTCCTGTTAAAGAAGACACTCGAGGTAGGAAATCTACCAAGTATAGAAAACTAAACTTCTCCCCACCCCAACAACTGAATGGGCTTCAGTCATTTGATAAAATTTCCTGTTGCAATCACATGAGAAGGAAACAGTGACTCTGACATTCTCCTTGATAAACTCAGGTATAACCCTTGCGGGACAGAAGCCAGAATTATTCCTCAGGAAGGGGGATGAGGCCGGCTGAGGGGCTGTCCACACAGCCCCTGGGGATCCTGGCCCCTCCCAGGAGCATTTGAAGGTGAGAACTAGAGATAAGGGAGGTGACAACCCACTGAAATTCTGCAGCCGCTGAGGCGAGGGGGTGACCCATGGGTTATCTGTCCTCTTCCTTTGAATTAATATGGACAGTTTCTTTAGGATACATATCTTTAAAAATGTTAACAGGTAATTTATATCAGTGTGTACTAAGAATATTTATACCCAACCTGTTGAGCCTGCAATTCCATGGATGGACATTATTTTTTTTTATCAAGAGGTTAAACAAGGGTGTTACTGAGTACCCTGACTTCCCAAAAGTTGAGGATCAAGCACAACTTGGTGGCCAGTGTGAATCAGAGAGGGAAAAGAAGAGGGAGTTTTGAGGTAGGCAGGGCGGGGAAGCCCAAGGCAAGGGGAGGAGCGTTTCACTGTACTCTATCCCTAGCGCCCAATTTCCTGAGGAGCCCGTGGACAAAGACGGAATAGCTTGCTGAGTGTTAATTCATGTATGTTGAGGTGAGATGCATGATTTTGCTCAGTGGAGTCTTATAGAATGCATTAAAGTGGGGTGCAATGTGCATACTGAAATGCTTTATCTTAGAAGTCTAAGCCACACAGGTCAGCAATAGCAACTGTTAAAGCCCCCTCTGCAGCCGCGTGGACCCCCAACGAGTGGCACTCACTGTCAGAGCCGCTGAGCTGCTGAGCCCCCTGCAGGCACCGAGGTGGCCAAAGTCAGAGGCAGCCCCTGCTGCCCTGGAACAGGAGAGAGGAGGAGAGGGGAGAAGACGGGATGGGAGGGATGAAGGCGGTTAGAGGGGCAGGTGTAAGAGCTGACACTACCACTACCTGGAACAAGCTGGGAATGGCCAGAAATAGGAGGTGAGCACGTTCCTGACTGCGGCACGGGTGCCGTACAAGTGGGAGGAGCTACTGTACAAGCTTAGGTGCACAATTACCACACTGAACTTGGTGAGATGGAGCAGGAACACTAATAAACACTGCGTGGGTAGATGGAGAGAGAAGCTTCGAGAACATTCCAGCCCAGACAGACCCTGAAACCTGCAGAGGCCATTGCTCTCACTGACAGCTCTGCTGCCCGTCACACTGGGGCGCCCACACATGCGGCACCTGGGTGACTGATGGCTATGGGCACACCTGACATGAGTGAAACTAAGTGATGTTTAAGGATCTTCCAAATGCTGAACAAGCAGAAATGTCATTTGACAAAAACAGGAGACATAAAGTGTATGTCCAATAGGCCGAGTCCATGCTGTTCACTAGCTTTTGCAAGAACCCATCTTCCTAAAGCTACTGGCCTTCTTGTTTTTAGCAGCACTGAGGAGGAAAACAGCAGGTAAACAAGAGTGCTGGGTAATACTTAGGGAAAGGAAATCAGGAGGCCAGGAGGTGACAGAGGGTGCACTCACTCGGCCATGACGCGTCGCACATTGCTGGCATACAGGGCGGGGTCCTTCTTTTCCTCCTCTGAAGGGTTGTACACCGGAAGGAACTGAGCACACAGAGAAGGCTGCGTTACTGGCACAGTATCACAAGACACCCCCCTTACCAATGCCACTACAGTGACAACTGTGAGTCTGAAAAAGTTAAGATCTGTCAAAGCACTTCCCGCTAGAATCATCTTTGAAGTGGTCACACGTGCACATGTACACATGCACATACCCACGTGCACAAATATGCACATGTGTGTGTGTGTGAAAAAATTCACAACTCGCCATTCCTCACTAGGAGTACCCACTCCCCGGACACCGCAGCTGTGGCCGGTACACTGTATTTGTAATTTCACATAGGGGCTTAGTTTTTAGATGTAAAAGAATAACATGTGTGCTTTTATTCCTAAAGGTCTCAGTTTTGTGTCAAGGATAACACAACAATTTCTACGTAAAAGATTATTAGCTTTTGGACATCTACCCAATGTTTTAAATAAGTCCTACCATGCAGAAAAGGCCAACAATCACCATTGAGCCGTTTTCTTTAACACTAATATTTAAGAATCAAGGAATATTCCGAAATACTACCAATTCTCATAACTGAACCTTTTGCTTACAGCTACATTGAAAAGAAGGACGCAAATTGCAACAGTTCCTCACATTAGCACCAGCGTCTCAGAGGAGAAACACCAGGAATTATGTTTAGAGGGATTACACAAGCCACGAAGCCTCTTTTCAATGCTTACAATAAGAAGCCAGATCTGAAATAGAGCTGTTTCTACCAGGAGACCCAGGGCAGGCCCAACTTGTCTTTCTCAGAGCCTGGCTCCATTGTGCTCCGAGCCACCAGCAGGCAAGCCACATAAAATGTCCTAAGCTGTGGGCCTGCTACCCTTGGCTCAGCTCTGAGTATTAAGTGGCTTACATTCTACTGAAATGAAAAACCTGGCGGAAAGCCGGGTCATTTGTAGTCAGTATTACTCTGCAAAATTGATTGGAAGGTAGTAAAGTGTTTCATTAAATACTTAAGTTGCATGACTCATCTTTAATTTTCAGGTGCAGGAGTAGCCAGGCAATTCCCTTTTTAAGAAAATAAACTCTATTCCTCATCCACTCAGATTAAATTTACAAGTTGAACAAATACAGCTGTATTTAATTTAGATGAGAGGATGGGTGTTGTGACTTTGTCTGATACATCCAGTGGGATGCAAACTGAAAGGCAGACTACATGATCTGACCAAGTATCAAATGGAGGATGACAGTATGACAAATTTAGCAGTGTGAATTCAGCAGTATTAGTATCAAGTAAAAATAAAGCTAAAAAATTTATTCATTACATATGTGTCAATTTGATATGCCTTAAGCTGCACTAACCATAATAAAAGAATGATGGGGTTACCTTCCTTGTTGATTTAAAAAATTGTATCTGAATAGATTAAAAATCATCCAAGAGACACAAAGCGATTGATGCAAAACTACTGGGAAGCACCTCTACTAGTAAGGAGCCATGAGAAATGGCAAGGGTTCCAAGAGACAGATGACATAACATTGTGTCTATAGAGATATCAATGTAACATTGTGTCTATATAAAACCCAAGATACCACTAACACTATATCCACATAGACACCTATATAACACTGTATCTATGCAGACAACATAACATTGTATCTATAAAAGACCTTGATACAATGTATTTATAACCCAGTGGTTCCCAAACTTATTTGGCCTACCGCCCCCTTTCCAGAAAAAATATTACTCAGCCCCTGGAAATTAATTTTTAAAAAATTTTAATAGCAGTTACTCATCGCCCCCAAATGCACCTGTGGCCATCACCGCCCCCCTGGATCGCTGCAGCGCCCACCGGGGAGCGGTAGCGCCCACTTTGGGAATCACTGTTATAACCCCAATGTAACATTGTGTAACACTATATTTATACAAACCTCAATTTCAATTTGATTGTGAAACTGACACAGGGTGAGCCACAGGATTTCTAACCTTAAAAACAAACAGATTTATAGCATTGGTGAGAAGATTCCGTTTAGCAAAATCTTCAACCCCCTTGCCCTGCAGAGGGCAGTACTGGGCAGTTAATTCTCCTTCAGGAGACAGATGCTGAGCCTTCTTCAGCCTAAATCTAAATCTTAAAATACAACAGTGAGAAAAAAGGCTACTTTTATTACAAAGCAGTCTTCACTGTTCTTATTAAACACGCCCATATCTGCAGCTTTAGTATGCCCTGCAAGCCATTGCTTCTCGAGTTTGTCTTCCAGCTCAGGAAACCTTGCCCCACGGGTCCCCACCCAGTCATCTCACGGCAGCGCAGACTGGACAGGCCCTCGCTTATGCCACCCCCATGCCTGGCTCCCAGAGTTCCTGACTTCAGAACCAGCATTTTAAAATTTTTATTTGCAGAAGTTGGAAATGGGGAGCCATCCAGAATCCCATCCCTGGGCCTTCGCTCACTACTCCCTGGATACACAGTCCCCCTCGTAACACTCTTACACACCCCACTTCGGCCTCATCGACAGCCTCAAGCCCAGGCCACCAGGAGCCCCTTCCAGCCCTTCTCCCAGCTTCTCACCACCCACCCCCACACTCCAGCCTCAGAAATGTGAGGACCACCACTCGGACATGCCGCTCCTCATGGCACCTCCCACGCATTCTGTTCCAAACACTTGACAAGGCCTGGGGGCCGTGGGAGGGCTCTTGCTTGGCCTCAGCACTCACACTTCCATTTCCAAAAACCAGCTCAAATGGCAGCACCCTGGAGGCCTAATGTGCCTGGATCCCATGTTCCACCCTCCCACCCTCCCCTGCCCCCAACCCCCTAATAGCTGAGCAAGAGGAGGGCAGCCCCTGGCAGTCTGCTGTCTTTTCCAGGGACAGGATGGTAATCACTGAGCTGACAGACGCAAGGCGGGAAGAGAAAGGTTCTCACAATTATCTTCTCAGTAGGGCTGAAGGCAATGAACTTAAGTCCCGGAACCCAGGGTGTGAGGACAGACCAGATTTTTACATTCAGTTTCCACAACAAGGTGAACCTAACTGCTGTCAAATAGCAGCGGGTCACGTGTTCAGGTTTCACATTTGCTAAATTAACTGGAGCACTTTCCCGGGAGGACAGGACAAATGAGACGGCACAATGTCTGACTTACGCTCCGGGGCCTTGCCACGTCCACGTGATGGTGTCCTGGGGGCAAGAAATGAATGGATGAAACATGACTGGGAGTTGGGCATCAGAAATTCCTGGGGATGCCACACGGGTCCCTCCCTCCCTGCCCTTATCCTAACTTCCTCTGCTGCCCTCCTCCCTGCCCTTATTCTAACCTTCCTCTGATTCCAGATGCTGAGCTCCTCATCCTCCCAAGTCCACTCTGGGGCAGAGAAGAAGGTGGGTGCTCACCACCTAAGACCCCCTCCCAGCTCCTTTTCCTGCCCTCCCCTCCTACCCCCCAGGTATCCCTGGCAACCTCAATTGACAACAAGGAGACTTTGTCCATCTGCTTCCTCAGACTTGCTCATGAGGGCCTGTGACACCCAGCCAAATTCCAACACCACACCCGCCTGCACCCATAACTCCAGCAGGTTGGCCCCAGGTTTGGGAAGAGGTAGAACAAGCCACTGCAGAGCCAGGGCCCCACTGGGCATTTCTGACCCTCTCCATTCTCAGCCTCAGCAGTCACCGAGGTGGGACATTGGAGGACAGGTGCCTGTTTCTACCCTGACAAAGGTCACCTATGGAGGCTTTTTCCTTCTGCAGTCCTGACACCCATGCACTCCTCTCACAGGCTCCAAAAACCCCTGGCACGGGGTTCCCTGCCACCCACGTGGCCCGCTCTGTGCAGGTCTGTGCTCAAACCTGCCAGCAGTGGGCTATGTCTGTGGCTACGCAGCTGAACACAGGACATGAGCCACAAACAGGCAAAGCAGGTGCCTCTGACACCCGAGCTGCACGCTCTGGAACCTATAAGAAACCTTGCTTACAATACGTTCATGGGACAAACTAAAAAAATGGAAAATCTAGAATTCTACACACCAATGACAGATTCTCTTATTTGCAGAGACTGACGAACAAACAGACCTCTTCAGTTTCAGCTGCGCTGCGAGAATTTTATCTGTCAGTCGGCGTGGCGACCAGTTCTGACTGACATTTATTTAGTGGCCACTCAGAGAGCCTCCACTGCGCCTGTCCACACCCTTAGGCCCAGTGTGCAAATCTCAGACCCTAAAGGCCTGGCCCAGACGTCACATGTAATTCTGCACAGTCTATTCCAGGGACTCCCGAGCCCACTGTGTCCTGGCTGGTAGGTTTCTTCCTTTGCTGTCATAAAGACACTGCAACGGAGAGAAAGCTCCGTGTTATGAGCAGATCTGCCTCAGGTGCCTCCGTGGAGAACCACTCCCATGTGTCCAGGGCCCAGGCAGGGCGGGGACACGAGTGTGTTTGGACCTCTCTCGGCTGCAAGGGCCCTGAGCCCATCAAGGTGAGATGACACCCACGGACGGGGTTACAGAAGTGAGACGCAGCCAGCATGAAAACTGCTCCCACAGGGCACCTGGGAGAAGGGGGCAGTCATGGCTGCTTTGCAGATGTCGACGCGCAGACCAGCAGGGCCCTGTCTGAACCTGCTCTGAGGTCTTGTCCCAGCTCCGCCTCTGAGCTGGGGATCCATCAAGATTGTCTGGGAGCTCTGAGCCCCAAACACCCCTTCTTTTATTTTGTTCTCTTAGAACAAACAAAACCTCTGCACACAACAGAAGCAAGATAAAGGCACATGAACCACAACGTCACCTAACTCCTTTCTCTCCTGCTGCCTCCAGCCTTTCAGAACTTGAATATTCTTAATTTAAAATTTTCCTAGAGTGTGAACTGGGCAGTGACAGCTGCTGAGGACACTGGGCAGAGAGGGGGGACGTTCACATGAAAATGTCAGGATCGATCACATGAGAGGAGGACCACTCCCTGACCTATGAAGGCAGGATTCTGTGCGTGAATATTTGGGAATATTCGGCATAGCAGGGTTGACTGGAACACCCGTGTGTTCAAACACTTCGCAGTTCTCACTCCCAGGGCCTCCGCCTAAACACAGATCCGCAGAACACACTCACCAGCTTATTTGGGTACCGCAGGACCACCGGCTGGACAGGAACTCCCGGGATGAAGGCACCTGCAGAGAAAAGGGACACAGGAACCGTCTTACTGCCAGGGCGGCAGGTCCTGTGCCTGCGTGGCTCATGCTAGCCTCAGAATAAAACGGGATTTCCTGCCAGGCTTTCCTGGTCAGCAGCAACCCAATGCCTGGAAGGTCCCTCCCCATCTGTGCTGGTGGAAAATACAGAGAATTCCAGGGTCACAGCCCTGCTGGCAGGAGGCAGACAGGAGTGTCTCCAGGCTGAGCTGCACTTTGATAGGACAACTGGAAGCACTGGTGGGAGTGAGGGTCTCCCCCACTTTTTCAAGGAGAAAAAAATAATTAAGAAAACTACAGCCTGGCCGTGTGGCTCGGTGATTGAGCGCTGACCCATGAACCAGGAGGTCACAGTTCGATTCCCAATCAGGGCACATGCCCAGGTTGTGGGCTCGATCCTCAGTGGGGGGCGTGAAGGAGGCAGCCGATCGATGATTCTCATCATTGATGCTTCTATCCCTCCTTCCTGCTCCTTTCTCTCTCTGGAATCAATAAAAACATTGAAAAAAAAGCTACATACCAGGTTTGAAGGTAATTAGGCAGGTCCTGTTGGTACAAGTTCCCTCTGGAAAAATCATTATCTTGAAATAAAAAAAAGAAGAGAAAAAAGAGTTCAGCAATAAAGGGACATAATTCAGAATTCACAGGTGCCAATTTTCACAATCTATTTCCCTACTGCTGACATAATTTAGATACTTTAATCATTTTCAGTTGAACAAGGTGAAATGCATTTTGGAAGATTATGCTGATTTCTTCTCTAACTATGAAATTTATTAAAATCTGGAAGCAAAGCAAGTAGACAACAGCATGTGCCTTCTTAGACCAGGGAGTTGCATATACTAATTGTGGTCCCTACCTCCTGGCTGCCTCGAGGACCAGACACAACTGCACAGAGCAGGCTGTCAGCGGGAGCAGGCGTCCCGAGGCAGAGCGGGACAGGGACACACAGATGAGAGCGTGTGGCTAAAGGACTCAGGACTCGGAATGGCCCTGGGGATGGGGGTGCTGGCCAGCAAGTGGAAACCCCAACAGAATCCACAGTAACACCTTCCCCATAGCTGAAAAATACCACCTGTGTGGGTGCTTTCAATTCTGGTCCCTGAAGGGCAGACCATCTCCAGGTAACAAAGAGCCACCAGGGGTCCAACCCTGGCATCCCCGAGGGTCTGGCAGGTAAGCTGAAGGAGGGGCAGGAATGGCCTGCACTGGTAGGGGTGGCAGCCAGGGAACCACTCCAAGTGGCTGCCCATGGGTCCAGGTGCTGGGAGCCAGCCCCCCTTGTGTTTCCTGAGCAGCCAGAACCCAGAGTCTGGTGGGATTTCCAGCTTCTGCATGTCGGCACAGTTTAAAAGAAGAAAATTACAGCTTGGGTCAAACACTTCGACGGCTAACAGCAGCCGAGGCCTGCGCCTCACGGCCTGGGCCAGAAACCAGATGCACGCAGGAAGCTCAGCCCATGACCCCGAAGCAGAGGGCGCCTAATAGACGAATGCTCTGCCCAGAACCGAGGTCCTGCCGACCCCGCGGACCGGGTAGCAGCTCTTTCTGACTCAGAACTTATACAAAGATTTGTTGTCAATAAAGACGATTGTGGGAACTTGAGATGCAAGTCTGAATGGTTTCTTCTTCTTTCTTTTAATTTTAAAATTCCAGAATCGAAAGTACCTGATATTTAGCAGATTCTTGGATTTACACTCATCAGAAATAAAAGGAACTAAACACAGCCAGCCCCCACGGAAGGCAGGTTCTGGCCCTTTTGTTTCTTCTCCCCTCAGTCTTTAAGCTCACACGTGCTGGAAAAAATCCACTCAAACGCAAGCAGGGCCCGGTTACCTGTGGCCACTTGCCATTTGACTGCGCCCGTCTCTTGATTTCCTCCACGGTCCTCCTGCGAGAATCCTGGTCTGACCGGGACACGAAAACAGGCCGTATGTACTTGATCAGAGCTGAAAGGGAAGGGGAGGTGTCATGAGGGGATACACCACTTCCGCTGAGCAGGACCTGGTGAGAGGTGAGACCCCTAGAGGTCCCAGGGGCTGTACCACGGGGTGGGTGGGAGTCCATGCCTGGCCACAGGGAACTGGGAAACCACTAAAGCTTCCAGTAAACTTAGAGGACAGCATGAAGCCTTAGTAACAACACTGAGAGTCCACAGGAGGTTAATCAGGGAAAGAGCAGAGCAAGGCTGACCCGTCAGGGAGCAGACAGCCTCTGTCACTGTAAATAAAGAAGGGTGTGAGGGCCATGGACTCAGAGTCGCAGGGCCCAGGACACGTGGCTCCTGTTGTGGGGTGAACTGTGTTCCTCAAAAAGATAGGCTGATGTCCTAGACCCAGACACCTGTGAGAGTGATCTTATTTGGAAAGAAGATATATTTTTTAAAAATATGTATTGATTTCAGAGAAAAGAAGGGAGAGGGTGAGAGGGATAGAAACATCCATGATGAGAGAGAATCATTGACTGGCTGCCTCCTGCATTTCCCACACCGGGGATCGGGCATGTGCGCTGACTGGGAATCAAACCGACTGAGACTTCCTGGTTCATGGGTTAACGCTCAACCACTGAGCCACAGCGGCCAGGCAGAAAGAAGATACTTGCAGATGTACTCAAGGTACAGGGAGGTAGTCTGGATTGAAGTGGGCCCTAATCAGTGACTGGGTTTCATAAGAAGGGGTAACAGACACAGAGGGAGAGAACCATCGCCTGCCTCTGCTAGACAAGCCCTGCTCCAGAACCCACGTGAGGTTTAAAAGGCAGCCTGTATGGCTTAGTTGGTTAGAGTGTGTGTCCTGCGCACTGAAAGGTCATGGGTTCAGTTCCCAGTCAGGGCACATACTCAGGTTGTGGGTTCCACCCACCAGTCAGAGTGGGTACAGGAGGCAGCCGATCGATGTTTCTCTCTCACATGGATGTTTCTCTCTCTCTCTCTCTCTCTCTTCCTCACTCTCGGAAAAAAAAATCAATAAAAATATATCTTTGGGTAAGGATTTGGAAAAAATAAGAAAAAAGGCAGAGGCTGGTTGGCAAGGAGGAGAGCAGAGGCAGGGCCCAGGCAGAGCAGCTGGAGGAACCATGGGGATGCAAACCTGGCACAGGCTGGCCAACCCTCCAGGGGCACCATGGGCAGTGCTCCAGAAGGGCTGGGCCAGGCTTGGCATGAGTGTGCTTTCATCTGTGAAGTGAGGGGACCATGTAGAGCACCCAGGGAGCCACCTAGAGTGCCCAGGATTCCTTACAGCCTCCAAAATAATGGTGAGTGTGCTCCACGGTGACCCCAAAAAGATGTGCCTATGTCCTAACCCCCAGAATCTGTGAATGTGACATTTTAAAACAGGTAAGGATCTTGACGTGAGCTCACCCTTGATTATAAGACACACAGAGACACAGACACAGGCAGAGGCCCTGGGACAATGGAGAAAGAGGTGGAGTGACTGGACCGCAGGTCCAGGGACGCCTGAGCATCAGGAGCTGGGGAGGCAGGAAGGCTGCTCCGCCCTCGGAGTCCCATCGGGGGCTCAGTCCTGAGATAATGTGATGAGAGCCCTCTGGCTCCAGAATGAGAGCACACAGTTCTGTTGTTTTAAGCCACGGTGATCTACCATGAAGTCTAGGGACCCTCCTGTGCCTGGGTTTCGAGAACAATAACTAGTGTGCTGGGATGGAGCCCTGCGCTGTGCCTAGACTTTTAGGATCCTCAGTGATAGAACTTGAAGAAGTAATTCAACAAATTATATTTAAGGGCAGTAATGAAAAATAAAACTCACAATGACTATTACAGAGGAAATCACAACAAAGGAAAGATAACAGGGACGCAAACCCAGGGCCTGTTTCACACGGGAGTGACCTGCACCGAGGGCGGGCGGGGAGGACCTCACTCACTTCCCCATATCGGGATGTCTCTGCTCTCGGCCTTCATCACGATGGAGGACATGGTCATGGTGACGGGGATGGCATCGAAGTAGGAGGAGTGTGGTGCCAGGGTGAGGATGGCTGCCTCGGTGGGCAGGGCCTGCCGCCCCTTCACGGTCACCCAGTGGAAGCCACCGACGAACCACATGGTCCGCATGATGGCCTTGAGCAGGAAGTCCACGACCCTGCAAGAGAGGGTACAAGTCAAACGGGAGTCTCCTTCCTCCTGTGGACAGTCGTGGACATCCTTGAACCAGATGAGCTCACCAGGAGAGCACAGGGACTCGCTGCAGCCGAGGTCGGGGAGAGGTAGACGCAGCCAGCAAAACAAGAAGGGACACATGGCGGGTAAAGGGTCACAGAGGTGGGGGGATAACTGGACACTGAGGAGACAGTGTGTGCACGTGGAGGGAGCGTCCTGACATCGAACCCTGGGTGTTGGTCCCTGAACACGCAGGCATGTGAAGAGTGGGACAAGAGCCCAGTCCACCTGGGTCTTTGAGATCCATGTGGTCCTGGAGACTGCTGATCTGCATGTTTCAAATGGTTTTGCTACAAAAGGGAGCAAGCACCCGGACAATGGGAGAGGTGAGAGCTGGCCTGTGTGTTGATGGAACACTCCACCTTCTATTCCCCTTTCCCCCCCACCACCATGAAGCAATGGCAGCTGACGATGCACAGGAGGGGCCTGAGGCCACATCCTGGGGCTGCGAGGACAGGAAGGGACTGGGCCATGTCCTGGAGCTCCAAGGAGCTTTGAGCTCAATGCAGGGCCAGTCTGGCTGGGAGCAGGGCCAGTCCCTGGGCAGCAGGTCTAGAGGCAGTGCTGGGCTGCACACTGGAGGGCAGGTGGGGGCTGCTGGGCTTCTCCAGGGCAATCCCAAGCTAAGACCCTGGGGTGGAGAGGCTTTCAGGAGAGCAGAGAAAAGCTGAAAGTAAGTTCAAGTCCAGGCCCTGGTCTCCAGTGCACACATGGCACCAGGCTGTCATGAAGATGGACTTCTCAGATCTGAGAGCAGAGTCCCCACACGGAGCACTGGGGACTGAACCATGTCCCCCAAACTCCTATGTTGAAGCCCTAATCCCCAATATTTTGAAATAAGGTGAAATGAGATCATAGGGTAGGGCTTGCATCTAATAGGATCAGTGTCTTTAAAAGGAGAGGAAGAAAAACCAGAACACTGTCCTGTGAGGACACTATCCTGAGGACACAGGTGGCATCTGCAGCCGGGAAGAGACCCTCCCCAGAAAGTCAGCCATGCCCGCACCCTGGCCTCCGACTTCCACCCTCCAGACATGAATGTCTGTTGTTTAGTCCCGGCTGGTGGTACTTGGTTAAGACAGCCTGACAGGACTAAGACACCCTCTTTCTATACCACAAGTTGGGTGTGTGTGTGCGTGCGTGTGTGTGTGTGTGTGTCAGCACCAAGACGACCATTACCACAGCCTGCCTGGCTTAGGTATTGGCCTGCTGGTGAGGTGTTGCAAGAAGATACTAGTTTTTACAACACTGTGTGTTTTGAAAGTAACTTAGAGTAAGTGACTTTTGTGAAAGGGAGCACTTCCTTTCATTAACAAAACCTAAGATTTTTATTTTAGGAACTTTTGAATGACACTAACATACATTGAGCAAAAAGGCTCCCTAACCTAACATCGGTCTACTCAGAGCCGCACAGCTGTGCACAGCGGGGAGGACCCACCTCCCTACCCACTGCACGAGCGTGCTCCCCATTGTGCACGAAGCCGAAAGGCATATGCTCTGAGCCCTGTTATTTCAAAACCTGTTTCCTCTTGCCTCCCTGGGTCCCACACTTGGGCACAAGTCATTGTGTATTCCTCTCAGGAGTTCAGTGTGCAGTTTGTTCTCCCCTGTTTGTTTGTTTTAAATATATTTTTATTGATTTCAAAGGAAGGGAAAAGGGAGAGAGAGATACAAACATCAATGATGAGAATCCTTTATAGGTTGCCTCCTGCACACCCCACACCGGGGTTTGAGGGCTGGGGGAAATAGCAGCCATGTGGCTGGAAGGACCCTGTTGGAAGCTGGAGACCATGGCAGGGGTGTGGCAGGAGCCGCAGTGTCCCAGACTGGAGAGCGCAGCCCTGGCACACATTGCTCCGGGAAGGGGAGGATAAACACTGGGTGGATAGAAGCTGTGAGAACAAACACATGGCCCTGTGACTCCCCACATCAGAGCACCACTGACAGGACTTACTTCCGCCACAAGGCCAGGGGCTGCTCCGGGGCCCTCTCAGCGGGTCCCAGGGAAGCGACGAGCGCGAAGGGCCAGGCGAGCAGCATCATGAAGGCGGCAAGCAGCAGCCGGATGGGAAAGAGCGTCAGCGTCATGACCGCGATCTGGGGAGACAGACTGAGGTTGTTCCAGAAGCACGGTCATCAGGGAACCTCTCATCAGGGAACCTCTCCTCTGGAATCCTCGTGTGGAAGCTGCCAGGCACCGGCGCTAGACCCATCCTGGCCAGGGTACTTTCATCTCAGGAACAGCCAGGTGGCTGGAGCAGCAGCGACACCTTACCCAGGTTACAGGGGACCTGCTACCTCTTTCCCGCTCCATCCTAGTCCTAAAGTCACCCCTGCAGGAGGCCGAGGACTGGAGTTGGGGACCCTCTCAAGTAGTCAACAGCGCTCCGCCCCAACTCCCACACCTGCAGGCAGTCCGAGCCCGAGCCTTATATGACCCGAGGACACTTTCACAGCACTAAGATGTCATCTGTGAAACGGCAAGATGGCAGGGGTGGCGCTGGCAAGACTAGGCCCCAGGAAGACCAGGGAAATCGGGGGCTTTGCAGCCCAAGGAAGTTATAGGGCACGAGCCCAGCAGAGAATGTGCCACTGCGGGTTTAGCTGGGAGGACGCCAGGAAGGTGAGTTGGGGCTCTGTGGGCAGGGGCAGGCCCTGCAGGTGAGGGGATAGTGCAAACACGGGGAGGGAGTGGGAATGAGGGACACGTGGGTTCAGCCGAGTGGTCGAGTCCAGGTGGAAGGACAGCTGTCACTAAAACGCAAGCACTTCCATGCACAACGACGTTCTGGCTCTACACCAGCTGATACTCAGGTGGTCAGTCAGAAGAGGACCGGGAAGGATGACAGAACTGAAACTTATAAAGGCGTGTGACCCACACTGCAGTGTTTGGTTACCTGCAATAACACACACTTCAAATATGCAGGTTTGGTGCAGAGAAGACAGAAAAGACAGGAGGTCTGCGGTGAGGTCTCATGCTCCCGGCTGGCCAAGCCTGAACAGCCCCACCCGCCTCACCTTGCTGGGCCTCTGTCACCTGCAACTGAGCGCATGTGAGCTGTTCCCTCAGCCTCTGCAGATTCCCTTGGGCTCCCTGTCAAGACCAGCACAGCCCAACATGATATACAATGCCAGCCATTTAATGTGTAATTATTAATTTCCTAGTGGCCACACTTTAAAAAATACAAAGGTGATGAAATTTATAGTTTATTTAATCCAATATACCTGCAATATCACTTCAGCATGTACTCAACATAAAAAATTATGAGGTACTCCATGATTTTTCATGTCGGAAATCCAGTGTGAGTTTTATGCTTATGGGGCATCCCAATTTACACTCATCTCGTTTTTTGTTTTTTAAATATATTTCTTTATTGATTTCAGAGAGGAAGGGAGAAGGAGAGAGAGAGATAGAATCATCAATGATGAGAGAGAATCATTGATCGGCTGCCTCCTGCACACCCCCCACTGGGGATTGAACCTGGGCATGTGCCCTTGGCCAGAATTGAACCTGGGACCCTTCAGTCCACAGGCCGACACTCTATCCACTGAGCAAAACTGGCTCGGGCCACTCACCTCGTTTTAAGTGCTCAATAGCCACCTGTGGCCGCGGCTGCCTGTTGGACAGTGCGGATTTGATAACCATGTTTTGCAAATGATGGCAATGTTTATTGGCCCTCCTCTCCTCCTCTTGCAGGAGCGGGGTGGGGAGAGCCCAGCGGGAAGCTCCAGTTTCAGTGGAGGCTGCACCGAAGCGGCAATCCCAGACCTGCTGTCCTGCTGGCCTCGGTGACCATGTTTCCCACTAAGTGGTGCTGGCTCGAGGCTGTCAGGAAATGTCTGACTGGTGAGAACGCACCTTTACACTCCTGGCTTTCTGAGAACTTGGCTTTGCTTTACATCGTGACTGGGTACTGAACTTTATCACAGGTCTGTGTCCAGTGGGTAAACCTGTGCCTGTCCTCACTCACCATAAGTGATGTGTTCACAGCTTGTCTCACATTAAAACCTTTGCGACAGTGCTGGGAAGTGACACTTAGTTTCTTTTCTTAAAGCAGGGGTGGGGAACCTTTTTTTTTTTTTTTTGCCAAGGGTCATTTGGATATATATAACGTCTGCGGGCCATACAAAATTATCAACTTAAAAATTATGTTGCTATGAAAAAAGCTCCTAGATTTATTGAATTTCAAATTCCGACTAATGTTGTCTTGGCAGGGTCAGGTGTCCCCATCCCTGTCTTAAAGGAATTGCTGGGGGAAAATAAATAAATGAATGAGAGAGAGGGAGAGAGAGAGAGAGAGAGGGAGGGAGGGAGGGAGGGAGGGAGGGAGGAAGGAAGGAAGGAAGGAAGGAAGGAAGGAAGGAAGGAAGGAAGGAAGGAATCGCTGGGTCTGCCCGTGAATACACCTCTGAGACCGAGTCATCGAGATCCTCGGTGACCCTGACCCCTGGGTCTCCTCCCGTGCTGCCTCCTCTGGGTGAATCCTCTGGGATTCCAGCCAGCTGCCTCTCAAGAGAAATTTCTACAGAGATTTCTGACTGCTGTTTCCATGTTTCTAAGACTACTGTTTATCAAGCTTTCTCTTTTCTCTTTGTTTCATTTCAGTACTTTTGTCAATGAGGAAATCTCCGAAGTCCTCAGACTTTTCCTCCCCCCGCTAAACTTCCTGGCACGAGTGATTTCAGGATAACCGAAGTTGCCCATGACATTCGCCGTGACTTTTAGATCAGTCCTGATCTACAATCTCATTGTTTATATTATTTGTGCCTTCTAGAACTTTTCAGCCAATATTGAGATATTCTTCTATTTTATTCATCTCCTTTAGAACCAGTTTGATACTGATTCTGGCTCTTACCAGAGTGACTCCTACTCTGAGTCTATGCTAACGGTCTAATTCACATCTTGCAGTAAAAACCAGGAGCATTAATTTCAGAAATACCTTATTTCCCAAAATTCACACTGAGAGCACACAACTTTTTCTTAAGTACCTCTTTAATCTAACCCCATAAGTTGATTGCTTATTTTAACATTTAGTTTAAAATATTATGTCCTTTTCCATCCTCTGTGATTATTTTAGAATTCTGTTGCAGAGGGAAAAGAGGTCGCAGTCTGTAGGTGACACTTCCCTCCTGTTCCTGAGATGTAACCCCACCCCCCTGCACCCTTCTCCCCAGCCCGTGGGCCACCCTCACTGTTGGGGTGCCCTCACTTTTGGGGTGCTGGCTGGGAGCTAGCTCAGCAATCCTGCTCTGCCATTAAAATTGACAGCTGGCCCTCTCAATTTGCAAAGATATCAAGTTACAGGAGAGTTTACTATTTGTTCCCATAAATCACCCTTTGGTGCCTGTGCTGCAGACATGTGAACAGGCACAGAACCTGAAAATCCCAGGAAGTCCTCACTTGGATGGTGTGGCATTTACACCACACCCTGCTCTGCAGGCATTTTGTAGATATATTTTTTTTTGATTTTTTTTTTATTGCTTAAAGTATTACAAAGGGTATTACATATGTCTCCTTGTAGATATATTTTTTTCAAGTATGTTTTTACTGACTTTAGAGAAAGAAAGGAAGAAGGGGAGAGAGATAGAAACATCGATGATGAGAGAGAATCATCGATCAGCTGCCTCCTGCACACCCCCTACTGGGGAAAGAGCCCGAACCCAGGCATGTGCCCTGATTGAGAATCGAACCAGTGGCCTCCTGGTTCATAGGTCGACGCTCAACCACTGAGGCACATCAGCCAGGCTGCAGGCATTTTCTGTTTCCAGGATAGTTCCTACTATAAATCATGATCTAAAACAACTGTATCTCATGGGGTTCCAGAAAGAGCATGTGGTTCCCAGCAGACTGGGACCTGCAGACTAGGATGGAGGCAGTGCCTCATTCCATCTGGACCAACAGGGAGAAGCTGTCGAGACCTGATCAGGGGACCGGAGCCTGCCCAGCACCCTGACTCGGGGCCGGAGTGCTGCTGTCCAAGTTATTTGGTTAATTAGCAATACATGTTCCTGTAGCCAGCAGCCACGGGGTCCACTCGGCCATTCCACATGGGACACAATATGTGAACCTCAGGAGATGCATTAGTGCTCCTGCTCCTGCTCTCGAGGCATCAGGAAGGACACAGTCCTGGTTTCTGAGTTTCACAGCAAGCAGGGGAAGGACAGGCTCTGACCCTCTGCAAACAGACAAGCCTCCAATGACATGAGGAGTGGGCGGTGGGACATAAGGTATACCCAGGGTGAACCACCTGGCTCCGCCTGGAGGATGAGGAGGAAGCGGTTCTATTGTTGTGTGTGTGTGTGTGTGTGTGTGTGTGTGTGTGTGTGTGTTACATATGTATAGTGTTGTGTAAATTGCACCACCACAGGATGCAGGGGGTTCCCAGCATCCCAAGCTAAGAGCCCACATGTTTTCCGGTGCTCCACCAGGTCCCCATGGCTCGGCCTTCACCCTGCCCAAGCATGTGGCCTGTGTGTTCTCTACCAGGTGAGAACTCAGGTAGGGCCTGTGTGAGTGCACCTGCCAGCTGGCAGCCCAGGCCCGCTCTCCAGGAGCGGGGTGTGGGCACTCGGAGAGGCTGCTGATCCCAGTGTTGCTGGGAACAGAGCTGGATGCACCAGGGACAGGTGAACTGAAGACCACCTGTGTGACAGACCCAGGGGCAGCAGAGGGAGGAGCTCTGACTTATGAGACACTGAGGACAGGTCTCGAGGTGGCAGTTCGTTTCTTTTCAAAGATGGTAGGCTTAGGTGAGCACACAGGACATGGACAAATACCAATGAGTGTGGGACCTGGGTGTGGGTGGAGCCTGGATTAAGGGGGTTGCTACAGCAAACATAAAGATGGGACCCTAGGGCCCAGAGGTGCTAGGGCTGACCTGCTGTGCCACTGAGGGGAAGTGCCACAGGCCAGCCCACAGGGTACCACATGCAGACAGGAACTAAAGGGGACTGCTCACCAGCTCTAGGGGTTCCTTTCAGAACAAAGGGAACAATACAACAGACAAATCAACTACCCCAATCAGTTAACCCACAAACCCCCGCCCCTCCAAAACCCAAAAACAATACAAACAAACCAACAAGGGTAGCGTGTGCACCAGGGGCAGGGCATGCTGAGTGAGATGCAGACAGGCAGGGCCGCCGCTGCGGGAGGGGAGGAGGGGAGGCAGGGAGAGTCCTGCCAGGGAATGCAGGGTGTGGTCCGTGTCCCAGAGAGAAGGTACCCACAGTGGATAGGCAGGACAGAGAGGCAGGCAGCTTCCCAAGATCAGTCAGCTGGTCAGAGCAAAAGCCAAGGTTCAAGGAATAGACGAGGTGCCCTGAGGGGAAAGTCCCAGGCCCAGGGCTCAGTCTTTCCTCCATGCACCTCCTGCCCGTGGACCCTGGCCTGACACGGGGACAATGGCTCTGATGTTGACAACCCACCAGGTCTGCTGCCCAGGGCTCCAGACATGCGTTGTCAACAGCATAACTGAGAACCCACAGCCATGCGCAACCACCACCCAAACTGAGCCCTGCTGGCCTGCTCCTCTCCGGCCTTCCCCTCAAACAGGCGACTCGTCCCTCAGGACCTGCTTGGGCAGCAGACACACACTTCGCAGTCATATCTGCCACCTCTCTTTCTTACCAATTCCTAATAGTTCCACCTCCAAAACAAATCCAGAATCTGAGACCCCCACTCCTCCAAGGTGCAACATGGCAGCCCCCACCCTGGCTCTCCACACACGGCCAACCCCGTCCCGTGGCTGCCAAGTCACCCTTTGACCCCAGGCCCCCCGCTCGGCCTCTGCTGGATACACTGGCCTCCCTCTGTTCTCCTACCACACCGGGCACCCAGCACCCCTGCAGGGCAGGCCTTTCCCCAAATCACTGGAGGGCTGGTCCCAGAACCCTCGCTCACATACCTGGCCATACAAGAGGGCCCATGTAGGACCTCCAGAGAAGGAATTGAGCCAGACAGGTACACCAAGCCTTTCCCTGGGAGGGGGACTCCTGGGACAGGAGCTATGAATGAGGGCAGATCAGCTGGAGACTGGGGGTGGGAGGACAAGGGCTCATCTTTAGAATGAAGCATGCACTAGGGTTCAGAAATTGTTGGAGCAGCGGTTCCTGGGGCTGAGTCTTGTGCACTCCACTCCACAAACACACCCTGGGAAGCTGGCCTTGGTCATCTCCAAGCTTGTGCCATGAGGAACAGGTTGGAGATGCAATGCATTCATCCCGCAGGAAGCTCTACGGGGCAATGTGAGATAAACAGGAAAGCCTTGCCCAGGAAATTAATCTTGTTTTTACTGTTACTTATTAAAAAATAAATAAATAAATAAACCAAGCTGTTCTTGCCAATCCTGATTTAGAATAGACAGAATATTCTACAACTGGGAAGCTGACGCCTGGTGCCCTGGGAAGCTGGCGGTCCCCACACCTCAGCCTGTCCAGGCAGGAGGTGGTCCGCAGAGCCACGTAGAAACAGTCAAATCTACTGGGGCCACTTTCTCCTGATGCAGTGAGACGTCTCATTTTATTTTTCTTTTTAAAGAAAAAACAACTTAGAAAAAGCACAGTAATCCTCACAGGAGTCCCACCAGCTGGCACAACCCAGCACTTTCCTTAGAAAACTCCACCAGCCACAGCAGCCTGGAACCGAGCCTGGAGGAGTTTCCGAAGTCAGCCCTGGGCCCAACGTGGCAGATGCTAACCCGGCAAACCCGCCAGAGCTCTCCGCTGTGCTTCCCCGTCACCACCACATCCTTGTAGATACAAAACACTGCTGGGCCCAACTCTCTGCTGCCTTCGGTATGGGATAAACGGGAGCGTTCACACTGATTCTAAGAGTTAGAATACGGGAATGCAAAAGGGAAACAAAAAGCCGATGTCTCAACAGTCGGGGTCGGTTTTACCTCGTCACATACAAGACTGCTCTTAGGAAAAAGCTTCCTCTTTACAGAAAGACAAGCATGAAGGCGGCTAGTGAGCCAAGGTGTCAACGTGGGGAGTGGGGTGGGAATGACTGCTGGGGGGCCAGGGAGTGCAGGTCACATCCGAGGGCAGCTTCAGACGGGAGAGTACAGAGTGTGTATTGGGTACCTGGACTTTTGTGACTTGCCCAAATTCACATGGACTATTTGCCTTTTTCTTACTAACATGTGAATGCTGACTGTCTTCCTGACCCTAGGTGTCAACTGTATCCCACTCTGTAAATTCTGCTGTTTGCTCTGTATGAGGCTCCCTGTCCACGGACCTCCAATGAAGAAAACTTCCAGCACCCATGCTTACTGCTACATACGTGCTATTTCTTCTTAGCTATCCCACTCAAATCTAAAATTAAATGCAGCTTTTCTAAAACAGCTATTTTTGCCTTTCAAACTCTCAGCCAACCCCAACATCCCTGCCATCCCCATCATCACTATTCAAGAGCTCTCAACTCAAATCTTAGCACTCACTGCCCAATCTGGAGGCGTCCTCAAAGTGTCTCAGTCATTCCCTTGGAGTTACACTCTGCCCTGCAGTCGGTGGCCAAGCAGTCTTCCTGGATGGCCGCACTGACCACTCTAGGCCTGCAGTGATGGTGGGTCTCCTGAGGCAGCAATGGGCATCCACGATGCTCTTCAGAGGTCAGCACCTCTGGTGTACGCCAACCCTCAACATGACACCCTATAACAGGAACCACCCCCTTTCTCCTCCCCCAACCAAGGAATCCCACACCAGACAGTCCTTGCTTGCCTGCCCTTTAGCCAGTGCCCGAGGGGTCCAGCCAGAAGGCCAGTTCAGGCCTGAATCTGGCTCCATCAGCACTGATGGTTTCATAGGCCCAGGGTGTGCAGGCCCCTGGCACCGGTAGCTGGGGGAGAGTTTGAGGCAGTGGGGCCCACAGTCCAGCTGGTGAAGGAAGCATGAAATGAACATCTCAGTCAGCAGTCAACACAGTGGGCAGCATGGGGCTTCCAGGTGAAGGGTGCAGGAGCGCCAGGCACTGCGGTGTAGGTGGGCCCTTACTGCTGGGGTGCTCAGCAGAGCACTGGGCCCAAGGACACGCAGCAGCAGGTGAACAAAAGAGCCTCCACACGAGGCCAGGGAAGCAGACCCTCAGGGACATCAGCAGCCACCTGCCACATGGACTCAGGTCTCCACGGAAAACTACCACCCAGACGCCAATGGAGGCTCACTGGTCAGAGGCTGGGCTCCAAGACAGAGGAGGAACAACACAAATGAGCAGACAATAGGTGTCCTGGTGTGGTGGGCACACCTGGAGTGGGGTGAGTGTGGAGGGGATTATCTCTTCTCCAAGGGAGTCGAGGAAGGTCTTTATAATGTCCGGTGGGATTCAAGCAAAGACTGAGAAAGTGTGTGTGTGTGTGTGTGTGTGGGGGGGGGGGCATGGGAGGGGTTCCACAGGGGGAAGGCTAGTGCAAAGGCTCTGGGGCTGGAGGCCAGGCCTGTGGGAGGGGCAGGTGGGGCCAGGGGGCTAGGCAGGCAGGATGGGCAGGGGTAAAGCACACAGGCAGGACAGCCACATGGGACACTAATGCTCCACTGCTTCAGAATGATGGCATCCTCGTGGTCCCCTTCCCCCCCACCCTCTGCCCCCATGCTCTCCCTGTCTTCACTCCTCCTACTCCTCAGTTTCTACAAAATCTCATTTACCTGCGTTTTCAGGGCCCCTTGGCTGGAGCCCAGAGTCTGTTCCTGTGGCCCTGGGATTTGGGATGTGAAATTCCACAGTAAACCAAAAGGCAGGTGGGGATCCTGGGTCGGGGGCAGAAAGGCTGGGAAGTGTAGCTTCCTGGGCTGGACATTCCACTCTGGGATGAGGCTCAGCTCCCAGGCAGGAGCTGGCTCCACATCCCGTCTTAAAGGCTGCAGGATCCCAGCAACACCTGACCTGCTCCCACGGCACCTCACTGTGGGCAGGACACCCTGTAATTACATGAAGAACACAGAGTTCCACTTGCAGAAATGGACCCAGGAGGCTGGGAGCCCCACAGATGGGTGTAGAAGCCCATGACAAGCAAGGCTGGATGACAGCCCCCAGGGGGTGGGGCAGGGCCCCACAGAAGTAGCCTGGTGAAGGGCCAGGATGCAAGGGCCACTCTAAAAGGTGCTGGCTTATCTTTGAGAATGTTCCTGAGGGATAAAAACTTAGGAGGAAGCCGAGGGCAGTGGGGAGGGGAGGGCACAGGCCAGGCACAAAGAAGACCTCGTCCTGGTCCACTGAGAAGTGATGTCCAGAAAGAAATGACAGGGTCCCAGTGTGGCACCGGGAGGGGCCGGCAGAACTAGAGTGCTGCAGTAAGCACCAGAGACAGACAAGTCTGCTCATCCGACAGGTGGGTCCCTACAGGCCCCTGGCTGTGTCCCAGACAGAGCAGCAGGTCCCTGTCCTTGGGGCTCACAGGCCAGAGAGGCCTCAGGTGAGAAAGTGAGGCAAAGGCCCCAGTCCCCGCTCCTAAGCCAGCGGTTCTCAACCTGTGGGTCGCGAACAATGAAAATACATCCTGCATATCAGATATTTACATTATGATTCATAACAATAGCAAAAGTTATGAAGTAGCAACGAAAATAATTTTATGGTTGGGGGGTCATCACAATATAAGGAACTGTATTAAAGGGTTGCGGCATTAGGAAGGTTGAGAACCAGAGCACAGACCCCACAATTTAACTGTCTGAAGTCGGGTGTGTCCCCCCTCAGGCAGCAGGGCCAGGGTCAGTGGGCAGCTTCATGGGTCATGTACCGGGGGAACATCTGGCTCAGGGGGAGGGCAAGCAGGGGCAGGAAAGGTAGAGGGTGCAGACAACACACCGGAGGCAGGGACAAGGATGCTGTGAGCACCCCAGCAATAAGGGCCCACCTACACAGCAGGCCTGAGAGATCCTGTCCCCCGCTCAGCTCAGCTCAGAGTTGTAGCTTAAGGAAATCCCTTATCTCTACGGGCCTTCATGTCCGAATAAAAGAATCTTGAAATTCAAGAATCTTGAAATCTAGCATTTCCAGCCGCTTCTATTTGTTTAGCAAATACCTGCATAGCCAGCAGGGCCCAGGTGACAAGGTGTCCTAAATCTCCCATGGTGGGGCCCTCCCCAGAAGTCCTGGGCTCCCAGCTATGGGGAGAATGCCTCCAACTGCAGGCAGCCCCCCACCTGGGCACCTACTCATGATTATACCCACCCTCAAATACAGACAGTGACCCAGAATATCAGGGCTCTGCTCCCCAGCTTCAAAGAGTCTCCAGCCCACCAATAACATGGGTCGGATGAGGTTGGGCCTGGCACTGGGTCCTTGGTGCCAGTCAGCAGAGGAGTGGAGAGGACCCCAGACAGTCTGTCCCTTGGCCATAGCACAGTGGGGAAAGACAGGGGTGATCGGAAGACACAGGGTCAGCTAGGGTGGATGGAGAGTGTGGGGGCAGGGTGGCTAGCTGGTGGTGGTGGTAAATTCTGCTGTTTGCTCTGTATGAGACAGTCACCCATGCCCCCTCCAGGGAGAGCCTGGGAGAGTAAATGGGCAAAGTTAGAAGACCCCCATCCCAGGGTGGGCATCCAGGGTCTGACCCACACGGGGCCCTTTGCCTGTCAGCATTCCTGGCTGCCTTGGGCACCAAGGTCACCTGTGAGCAGCTCAGGCTCTGGGGCAGCCATGGAGCACCAGGCCTCACTGGGTGTCAACTGCTGGTCTTCACCCCCCAGATCTTAGGGAACCTGCATGAGACACAGCATGGAGAGGCACAGCTCTGTGTCACCAGCCTAGGGGGTTGAAATATTAAAATTGTGAAAAATTTTTTAGAGAAGGTTTTATGTGGCAAATAATTTTTTAGGAAGTATCACTCTTTGGGCTCTGAGATGGAAACCTGACTTTTAAGAGGAAAAGGGCTGTGGTCCCATGGACACCTGCATGTGTGGTAACATAGAGTGAGGCAAGGGCTCCGTCCATGATGGCCTGTAGTAGCTAGTGGACTGTCACCAAATGCAACAGAGCCCAGTAAACATGCCCAAAGGAAGACAGGAAGCCGACTGCCAGTGGCCGTGTCTGAACAGCATTTCAGCACTTAAAACACCTAAGCTCATAAGGCTGAAACATGGTTAAAATGCCAAGGAACAAAGAACTAGCTTTTGTTTTTTAATTTGTATTGAATTTATTGGAGTAACATTGGTTAATAAAATTATATAGGGTCCCAGTGTACAATTCTATAATACATTATCTCTATATTATATTGTGTGTTCACCACCCAAAGTCAAGTCTCCTTCTGCAACCAGGTATCTCCCCTTAACCCTCTTCTACTTTCCCATCCCCCTTTCCCTCTGATAATCACCATACAGATCTGTGTCTATGACTTTTTTACTTAATCCCTTCACCTTTTTCACCCAGCCTTCAACTCCCCTCCCCTCTGACAGCTGTCAGTCTGTTCTCTGTATCTATAAGTGGATAAAAAAAGCTCTGGTATATTTACGCAATGAAATACTACTCGGCCATAAAAAAGACGTAAATCTTACTTTTGTGACAGCATGGCTGGACCTGGAGAGTATTATGCTAAGTGAAATAAGCCAGTTGGAGAAAGACAAGTACCATATGGTTTCACTTATACGTGGAATCTAATGAACAAAACAAACAAACAAAACAGAAACAAGGCACTGGCTTTAGTCCTGCAAAACATGGCCCGGGGGCTGCACGGTGACCTGGGCTCTAGGAGGACAAACACTATGACCACGTTCAAACATGTTATTTCCAAGCACATGCTTTCTTCTGGGCTCATTTTCAAAATAATGCACTTCACAGCTAGGCCACGGCTAAGTTCATGGAACACTAGGAATGTTAGAAACTTAACTCAGGCCAGGCCAGGTCGCCCTAACCCAGCCCCCAAAACCCACAGGAACTCCAGGGGATCGATGGGGGCTCTGTCTGCTCTGGGGATGGTGGCACTTTGTCCTGCACTTTGAAGGCCCAGGGGGCAGGACAGGGGGCAGGGCTGCCAGCAAGGCTCCAGGTCTCTGGGCAGCGGGCAGGGCAGGGGCAGGGCTCCTTGGAACATGGAGTGTGGAAGCCTTGCTCAGGCTCACCTGGAAAGGACAGTTCAGGGCTCTCCTCAGATCATCTCAATCATGGGGGGGGGGGGTTCCCCTCTCAGGGCCCTGACACTTTTGGGCCTGGCAGGGTAGGCAAGGTGCCCAGCTCCTGCAGCATGGCTTTGTGTGTATGTGTGTGTGAGTATGTGAGTATATACTTCTGTGTATATGTATGCATGTAATGTGTGAATATGCTTCTGTGTATATGTGTGAGTGTTTATATACACACATTATAACAATTCACATTTCAGGACAGAGGAGCATGAAAACTAAAAGACAAGCCTTTTGAATCTCCCTTCCCACCCTCAGCATTAGCCACAATTCGGTGTCACATGTGGACCGTTCCATACATTAGAATGGTGAGTTAGAAGAGAAAGGCAGATACCCATGGTCGGGGCTCCCTGGGGGGCCAGGTCAGATGTCTGCATGCAGCAGCCATCACTGCCCTGGACTTGGGGACAGCACTGTACTTGGGCCTGTCTCCTCAACTGGCATGTGGGTATATAGTACCTGACCCTCCACTGACCCCCTGCTCCCATGGCTGCACTGAGTGACCAGTGCAAGGACACTGGGAATTCCCCTGGACCCTACTGGGCTACAAATGTACCAACAGAGGCATCACCATCAGAAAACTCCCAGGTGGTCAGAGGTGGCCAGAGACCCAGGGCCTGGTGTCCACTTGGAGCCTCAGCCTCCTCTGTCCTCCCATGGGACACACGCTCTCCTGGAAATCCTCCATTCCACGAGGGGCTTCTGGTCTCTATTACCACTTTCAGACTGGGTCACTTCCCATTTAACCACTCCCTAACACCCCTGGCAGAGCTGGGGTTACAGGAGGGCCTGGATAAAGACCTGCTCATTATGTCTCAGGCATGGAGCACCCAGATACAAGGGGCAGCAGGGTGGGTGTGATGGGAAGGGCTGGCAGGTCAGTGGAGCAGGAGGGAAATGCCAGGCCTGGTCTGTGTGCATGGGGATGGGGGCACTGAGGCCAGGGGGCAGGGTACCAAGACCACGAGTGGCCCAGAATGAACAGAGTGTGGGCTTCCCTGCTCCAGAATGGCCACACCTAACCCAGGATCCAGGCTGAGACCAACCAAGGCCCCTGCTGCTGCTGCTTTTTTTTGGTCAAAACTAAGGACTTGTAGAAAAAAACCACCCACTTTTGGGTGAATTCCACAAAGGGCTGCTATCAGCAGGTCTAGTGGGTCAGAGTCTCCCTGGACTCCACCCTCCTGGTAATCCTCTCTAAGGATTAGGCAGGGGGAGGGGTGTGCTCCTCAGCTTCCTCCCTCCCAGGACTCAGTTCCAAGGTACACAGGAAGCCAGTCAGCTTTCCAGGAAGTAAGTGCTCACTGACACTGGTATAGGGAGTTCAGAAATGGGGAAACTGCAGAGCTGGAGGTGGGATACACTCACACTCGTGGGCTCCAGCGGGAAGCACCCAAAAACCCAAGTGATATAAAACCACTTCATGATTTCAGAAGCAAGGAATCACCATGTGACTAGCCCATATTATACTATTCCGAGTTGTCAGCTCTTACTGTGCTGTTTTCTGTCCAAAGAGTTGCTTAAGCTCCTTGCTAAATCTGCAGTTAAATGACAGATGGACTGGTCATTAATCCACATACAATGGTTCTTCCCTGACAGCAAATTCTAGCATATAAATGCAGGTCCCCTGGCTGGTTTATCTTAATCAGAATTTAGGTGAGTTTCTGAGCTCCCACCGTGCTACGTCACTGCTGAATCCATTTACTTATTGATTTGGGAGGCAGGCTTTCTTTGCTTGGATAGTCCAATTCACTCTGTGGAAATGTTACCCTAAAATACAGTAGATAAAGGTAAAAGGCTTGGCAGACAGAGCACTGCTTGATAAAAAGCAAAATATGTCTGCTGAGCAGGACTTGGAACTTGAGAGCAGAGCTACACACCCTCATCCACACACTGCTGACATCTGAGTAGTAGCGATGACTTTGTTACAAGTACACGTGATTATTCTGACTACGGTTTCTGAAACATTGTGACAAGGTGTACACAAGGTATCCCGCCCTTCCTTGGAGGCTAAAACATCCCACCCACCTGTTCTTTTTCTGAATGTCATCCAGATGCTGCCTGCCAACATCTAAAACCAGGATCTGAAAGCGGTCTCAGGGAAGAACAGCCCACAGGCACTGCTCCAACCCTCCAATTTACAACTCTGACTCCTGGGGAGGGGAGCTGGGGATTTCTGACTCTGCTCTGACATCCTCCCTTCCACTTGTTTATTCATTCAACTAGCTGAGTCTCTGCAGTGGACCTCACCCACCTCCACCTCACCCACCTCCACAGTGAGCACACAGTTTGGGACAGGACGGGGTGGGGGGGGGGGGATACTGCAAACGTGACAGGGATGTGGAGGTGGCCTTCTGGGAACCTCCAGGGAAGAGAGCTTCTTCCTGGAGGTGATATTTCACCCAAGAGGGAGGAGCAAAGAGGCAGGGACAGAATGCCCTATGGCAGCTGGAGCCAAAGGTGTGGGGCAGGGCCCAGAAGGGTCCTTGGAAACCACCTGAAGGGCTCAGGGCTGGCTTGGTTCCCAGGGCACCTCAGGGGATTCTAAGCAGCAGAGCAGTGGGAGGAGGAAGGCCTCCTAAACCAGTGGTGGCCAACCTTTCAGACCTCACAGACCACCAGTGGTCCGCGGACCACCAGCTGGCGACCGCTGTCCCAAACCACAAGAGTCAGGGGGGGGACCTGGGAAGGGGGGCATTCAGGAGCACAGGGGAAGTGACTGTGTCCTAACACCCTAGTACGCTGGGCACAGCACCTAGTAGGTGGTGAGTATGAAACTACAAGTGAAAGAGGCACCGGAAGATACCGGTGTCTGGCTCTGGACACACACAGGGGCAGGGACCAGGAGTCAACTGGGGACAACCTTGCCCTTTCTTATCATCAGGAGGGACACCACCCTCTCGGTTCTCTTCTCTCTTCTCAATCTCTGCCTGGTTTCCTCTGCCACCCATGCCAACTGAACCCACCGAGAAAGCACTTCAAGAAAAGGCAGGAGTCCCAGAAAATGACAGCTTTAGACTGACTTCAAGAACGTTCCCTTGAACGTTATTTCAGGTGAGTTACATTACACATTAAAAAATTCTCAATGTCACACCCACCCACTGGACAGCCACTTAAGTCCAACATCTGCGCCTGCTTCGATGTGTAGTTTTGGAGCCTGAAGAAAGGCTGACCTGTGTGCGATCTTACAGAAATCCAAACGCACCACTACCAGAATGCCGAGACCCGGCGGTCAGGGAGTCATTCCACCAGGTCAGAACCCAGGCGACACAAGGAAGCAGTGTGGAGGCCTCCCGCTTCCTGCAGCCGCCCATCCCTCAGCCAGGACCAGCCGGCCGCACACATAAAACCGGACGGGGCGAAGCGCACACTGTTCCCTCCCAGGCTGGAACCGAAGTTGTATCCAACTGCTTCCGGTTACGGACTAACCCCCAGGGAAGCGTCCCTCGCGCACTCCCCAGAAAACAACTTGCTAACAGAGAAGCGCAAATCCTCCTGCTGTTCATCGTCACCCCAATATTTCTGGCACTGACTCAAAGGATAAACTAGATCCTCACACACGACGAAACTCATCAAGTGACAAAGTCACATCCAGGGGGTCCTCTCCAGCCCCGCGCGAGTCCTGCAGGAGTGGACAACCGGACCAGGGAACGAGCTGCGCGGACCGAGCTGGGGGGAGGGGTGCGGGAATCAGGGGAAGGGGTGCGGAGATCATGAAAAGGGGTGCAGGGATCAGGGAAAGAGCGTGAGGCCGGGTTCGAGGTGCGGGGGACTGGGGAAAGGGAGGAGCCATGTTTTGGGGCACGGGTGGCGGAAAGTAGGAAGGAGACCTGATATGGGGTGAGGACGTCGAGGATGCGGCATGCAGGCCGCAAGGAAGATGTGGGG